ATTTGAGTAAAGTGTATGTGTGTCTATAGTGAATGCAATGTGTGCGTAGTGGATACCAAGTGTGAGTGTGAGTAAAGTGAATGTAGTGCGTGTGAAAAGTGAAAGCAGAGTGCGTATGTAGTTTATTCAATGTGTGTATTGTGGATGCAGTATTTATGTAGTGAATGCAGTGTGTGTGTAAATGTGTGAGGATAGGGGTTGTGGAGAGGGAACAGTTTAAAAAACATTATATTTATCTTTCTGGTTGCATCCCTGCCATATTCCATGGTGGTCTAGTGTCACGGTGCAGTCTCCATGCAGCTTGTTGGCTTTTATAGTGAAGTGGGGCCCAGGAGACTTCAGGTTCCACCTCTGGCAGTTCCTATCCCTCTCTTGTCGGAGCGTGCCCATGGTAACCCACAGCAACGCTTTTACAGTCAGGGCTTGTGATTGTTAGAGAGGACCTGGAAGTTGGAGTCTCCTTGGCCCCCCTCTTCACTATTCAAGCCAGCAAATAACCAGAGGCCAGAGATACTTGCTCTACATATATGTACATTGGGAGTAAAGGGCATTGGCCCGCTTGGCACAGTTTGCAGCCTATGCCCAATACAGCTGTATAAGCTTTACCCTCTAGACGGTGGCCCTGTACCATTGGCGGATCCAGGGGGGGGGCAACGGGGCAATTGCCCCCCCCCCGAGATTCCCCCCTGCCAGCTAATGCAGGGCTGGCATTGCCCAAGTGCCAGCCCTGCAATGTGCCTGCGGACCGGGGAGGAAGATCAGAGATCTCCCTCCCCGATCCGCAGGCACCGTGCTGACAGCCGGCGGCGGAGGGAGGGAGTGAGAGAGAGGACCTGGAGCTCAGTCTGTAGCTCCTCCAGGTCCTCCTCTCCCGAGATTTGGAGCGTTGCCGCGGTTACCACGGCAACGCTCCAAATCTCGCGAGAGTGAACTCTAGCCCTGGAGCGCGGGCTAGAGATCACTCTCCACACTGGGACCACCAATGAATCCCCACCGGACCACCAGGCACCAAGAAATGTCCCCCCTCCACCCCAGTAAAGGTAAGAAGGGAGGGGGGACATAGAATATTTATTTTTATTAAATAAAAAAAAAAAATTATTATTTAAAAGCCTCCTCCCCCCCCCCATTACACACACTGCCCCCCATTACACAAACTGCCCACCCATTACATACACTGCCCCACACACACTGTCCCCATACACACACTGCCCCCACATACACACACTGACCCCCATGCTCACACTGCCCCACAAACACTGTCCCCATACACACACACTGTCCCCATATATACACTGCCCCCCATTACACACACTGCCCCGCCATACACACACTGCCCCACAAACACTGTCTCCATACACACACTGCCCCCCATACACACACACTGCCCCACAAACACTGTCCCCATACACACACTGCCCCAAAAACACATACAGTGCCCCCATACATACACTGCCCCCTAACACACACACTACAACCCTGACATACACTGCCGCACTCACACACTTCACCCTTAACACACACCACTGCTCCTATACCCTATATCCCAGCAGACCCCAGATAAGTTGTCAAACTGTTTTTAAACGGTATGACTACTTACTCTGGGGTGGAATCCTGGCACTACTGACACCATAACTACTACACTGAGCTGTAGTGGTTATTGTGCCTGGATTATTTAATTAAATAATCTACAAGTGCCCCTCCCGAGATCAGGCTCTGGATCCGCCACTGCCCTGTACATGGGTCTCCTGTTCTTTTTTTCTCAAACTCTCTTGCCTACCTCGCCTCTGTAGCATGCTGTCTCCTGCTTAAGTCTCTTTGTCTGTGTACGGGATTAAATATATTGGAAACAAGGCTGTATGTGTGTGATAAGATTTGCATGTGTGTCCAGCTGCATGTTTGTACTTGCAGTTGTGTGGGGAACTTTTTGTGTTATGTGAGGAGCAGCATGAGTTTGAAATATGAGTTTGAAATATAATCCCTTGCAGCAGTAACATCACTGCAAATTTGAGATATCTGGGTGAAAAGCAAGTCTTATGGCTTCTGTGTTTAACAATTTTTTAACTATCCACTGACTTCAGGTGGAAGTGATTTTCATTCACTTTTTCCCCCTCCATAATGTTCTTGGTCTGTGCTCCGTAAGTAACGCCAAGCCTCAATAGCAAGCCAACAACCAGCCTCATGCTGATGAGTTGCATTACCAATGAAACAACTGTCCATAAGTGGTTCATTAGATTTGCATCTCTTCCTGAGTTGTGTTTCACAGCTGTTGTATACCGCAAACATAAACTTAAAAAAATCCATGTTTAAATGGAACAATGAGGCAAAAATGCAATGCTTTGTTGAACTTATTTGCATATGCCCACCCAGAATCCTTTGCAGTAGTAACATCATAGCAATTTAAGGGAAAAACAAGTCTTATGGCTTGACTGGTGTGTGCAGATCTGTGTTTAACATTGCATTGTCTAGCCTATGAATTATTATAAGGTTTAAGTTTGCCACCTACTGGTAAATAGTTGCATTACATTTAACCTGTTGGCTTCCTATGTTGTTTATAATTATTATGCTTAAATGCTTAATATGCGTAACTATCATCATTTTAGCCAGATTCCCACTGTGCCATTCCACGTCTAGACATTAAGCTAGCTTTAAATAGTTTTACACATGCATGGATCCCCCAAGGGACCAGCAATCTGTCCCTTTTCACAGATATTGTTAAAGTAGAGGTTCCTCATTAGTGATATCAATATCAGCCATCTATTAAATTGATATATGTAATGCAATGTGGTATCTGTGAAGAATGGACTGTGATCACCCAGCTGACCCGCATATTTGTCAACCGTTTGAAAATTGTTTGACTCGTAATCATCTCGTAGATTTCATGGCACCTCCTACATTGAAATGCAGCAAGCACCTCCAATTACAACCTTAACACACCAAGCTGACTCGGTACATAAAAAAATAGCCCAAAACGGGGGTGGGGTCAGACCGCCATGCTGGCTGACCGCAAGTCAGAACAGCTCCAGAAGGTCTTGGCTTATATTTGTTGATCAATCTGGGAAAATCTCAGCCAGGACTAAAAAAAGTGATTACCTGGGCTGCAATTGTGCTCTGAGGTGTTTGCTCTGAAGCTCTGGAGGCACAATGGAGGGCCGCAACTCTGCTCACAGGCCTGATCATGCGACGGCATCCCCACACACCAAGGGGAATGCCGCCGTTCTCTTACCTGCCTAATCGCCGCCAATCTCTCACCCATGGTGGTGGCTCCTTCTCTCACAGCGGCCGGGTCTGTAATCATTAGAGACGCCGGGCGCTGCAACTTTGAATAACTTAAGGGTTTCCTGTTTAACCCTTAAAGGGCCAGATCCTTAAATTATCATGTGGGTGTATTACACACACGCCCATGATCACATGTTTCCTTGCAGCCAATCAGGGAACACCTTAAGCTATTTAAGCCTATTTTGTCCATTTCTCTGTGCCCTGTCGTGATTTCCATATTGGTTATCCAAGAGGGCGTACCTTGTATTGCTTCTTGTGAATTTGACCTTGACTTCCCTTTTTGACTGTCCAATCTCTGTATTCATTGACCTTTGGCTTGGCTCCTGACTATTCTGATTTCTCCATTCCTTGACCCGTGGCTTGTTCATCGTTTACGTTATTTCTACGTCTTATCTTTACCCTGTCTTGTGGCTTTTTGCCTTTACACGTTAAATCCGGCCATTCTAAGGCCGGTAATACGTCTTAGGTATTTTTTCATTATCTACTTAAGTTCTGCGTGTTGGGCATCTATAGTAATCCAGACATTACGCCAGGCCATGGACCCTGCAGACTTAAGTAGACAGGTGTCGTCTTGTGAGTCTAAACTGGAGGAACATGATCACCATATGGATTAGTTTGCCTAGGCCTTCCAGACTTTTTTGACTCGCACTGCACACCTTCAAACGGAGACACCCTCTGTTCAGGCTTCACAGCATGCCACTGGGGCAGCAACCAGTGGTCAGAGGGCTCCAACTATAAGCTTATCCCCTCCACCTAGATTCAGTGGTGATTCCCAGGAGTGTAGGGGTTTCATTAACCAGATAGAGTACATAGACAATCGCCTTAGGGAAAGGGCCAAAATCAGGACATGGA